CGACACTAGCCAACTACAAGTGTCCTTAGTAATAATACTTTAGAAAATATAGGGATAACTATTTTCTACAGCTACGTTAAATCAGACAGGAAGCCAAAGTGAATAAATCAAACATTGCTTCCTAATCGTGACAATCCTTTTGCAAAAGGAATCACAAATGGCAAATATTTTGTGGGCACTTTTTCATTTAACTCGATCACTTGAATGTAATGGTTTTATTATTAGAATTGCTAGAGTCAACTTACAAGAGTAACAATAATTGTTTTATATTAAATAGGTAACAAATTTCAGTTGTAACATTCTTCTCACGTGTATTGGTAAAATAAAGAATGCATGCAAAGTAGCCTGTATTTTAAATAACTCAAAGCTTTTTTTCTGATATTTTGGCAAAAAAATGCGAAATTCTATTTATTTGCTGACATGTTTCAAACACCACATTAGAAAAAGAAAGAGTTTATGACCAGAGAGGATCCACTCTATTGGACACCATAGCCACTGCAACACCATTATAATATAATATCATTATTTATAAGAGAGTGCTGTGATATCCCAGATGCAAAATACAATTTAAATAATTCCTATGCCTGGTGGGACAAAATAAGGCCCATAAAATGGAAGGAAAGCAGAAAAAGAAAAGGGTATATAGAAAGAGAAATAATAAATACCTGTTTGATATATATATATATATATATATATATATATATATATATATATATGTATATATATATATAGAGAGAGAGAGAGAAAGAGAGAGATATTGTGACGAAAGCCACTGGGTTTTGGAGGGAACTACTTGCTAGCCTTTTGCCTTGTGACTATGGCCCCTGTGACTTATTTGGTTGTAAGGCACTATTTCTGCCTATTGGGACTGTGGACAATGGCTCTTTAAACTTGCAAAGTAGTCGAAGGGGCACTTCGGAAACAGCCGAAGTGTCGAAGTGGCCGCTATTCGACATTCGAACATGTGGCGTCGGCCATTTTATATAGTTGAACGAGTTCAGCTGTGTTTTGTAAGTTACGTTCTCTGGGACTTCAGCTCTTCGATGGGAGTCGAACGGCATTCAACAATTCGAACGGCAGTTCAACACTGACTTTGTGCACGAACGGTCCAGTTCGACTATTCAAAGTGAACTTTTATCATTAGAAATAGACCGACCGCTTAGCCTAATTCTTTGGAACTGTTTTGAACATGAAATCATACGTGCGGTCGGTCAAAAGAGACTTCAAGGAATTTCCTGAACCCCTGCTCTGATCTGGGGGATTTTTGCATATGTTGTTCACCCAGATCAGGGATGTAATATTTATGGGGATATGTTATGTTTTGGGTTGTTTTCTGTACTTTGTGGAAAATGTGTATTTTTCTGTCTGTGGATAGTTAGGTTATTGTATTAACTACTTTAATTATATCACAGGCAGAGGGGAGGGATTGTTTACTGTATGTGGGAGTGCCATACTGTTAATTACTGTTTTGATTGGTTTGTACATCTTGTAATTTGGTGCTCCATTAGGTCCAGGAGGAGTTCCCCTGGCCTGAGGAATTGTGTACAAATCCAGCCTGTGCCATTAAACTGTCAGACTTTCTCACCCTCAACTCGCAGCCTCGTCTTGTGTTGTAGGGAACTGCTATAATCACACTGGGGATTGCTATACTCCACTGTATACTCCACTGGGTTCTAATCACTAGCTCTTCTAAGAGCTGTTCCTGCTTTGCTCTCTGAAGGAAGAGAGGTTTACCTCCTGGAGACTGGAGTCTTGTCGTAGGTCCAGGGTGGGAGGAGACGACGAGACCCCAACCAAGCTGCGGTGATTCATGGGGTCTGCAGTGCTTATGGTGTCTGGCGTGGTGCTGATGGTCCTTGGTAAGCACTAACAGCATCGATTGAGGGACGGTCCGTCACATGAAAAAGAAAAAGGAAGGGGAGAAGAGAAGAGAGAAAAATTTAAAAAATAAAAATAAATAGAAGATGTTATAAGTATGTGTAACTAATTATAAAATATCTAGTTGCAGAAATATTGATTAACCCCTTCACGACCTAGGACGGTTCAGGACCGTCATCGGCATTTTTGGCTTGCCGACCGATGACGGTCCTGAACCGTCCTAACGGTCTCCGTTACTTACCTGATCGCCGTCGTTCCCCCGGCGGCGATCAGCGTTGCTCCGGTTGTGGGGAGACTGCCTGCAGCCCAGACAGTCTCCCCACACTGAATTAGGACCCCTGGGACACACAGCGATCACATGGTCACAATAGGTATCCTAGTGTCTGCCTGCAGGGGGGCTGCCTGTGCTGACAGGCAGTCTCCCTGCTAGTGTAAAATCAGTAAAAAAAAAATAAAGTTAATGTTAATAAAAAAAAATAATTATATATGTGTATACATATATGATATATAGACATATATTATATCAATATAATATATGTCTATATATCATATATATATAATGCCATACTAAGTGTATTTTTATATTAATATGTACTTATATTAATATAAAATACACTTATAATTAAATTACACACGTATATATATAATATATATAATAACTATATATATTGTATATATATATTATTATAAAATATAAATAATAAGTAATTTAAATTAAATAAAAAAAATTTAAAATAATAATAAAATTTTTTTAAAAAATTATATATCTATATGAAATTTTATTCTAACTGTATTTTAAAATTAATATATATATATTTATATCAAAATACACTTAGAATGAATTTGTATATATATCTATGTATATAAAAATAAATAAAAATAATAAGAAATATACATATGTCATATACAAAATTACATAAATAATTATATATATATACACGTAGACTTCAAATATATAAATATGCATATATATTTAAATTCTACGTGCGCATTTATGTAATATTTTTACATAATTCAGTAATTTTATTGATTGCAATTTGAGGGACCTGCCTGCCAACCCAGGCCGAAATTCCAGAGAATTGAATTTGCTAGCACTGTATTTTACCCTGTAACGTTCTACGACACCCTAAAACCTGTACATGGGGGGTACTGTTTTACTCGGGAGACTTCGCTGAATACAAATATTAGTGATTCAGAACAGTAAAACATATCACAGCGATGATATTGTCAGTGAAAGTGACTTTTTTTGCATTTTTCACACACAAACAGCACTTTTACTGAGGATATAATTGTTGTGATACATTTTCCAGTTTTTAAACACTAATATTTGTGTTCAGCGAAATCTCCTGAGTAAAACAGTACCCCCATGTACAGGTTTTATAGCATTTTTGAAAGTTACAAGGTCAAATATATGGGTCAAATATTTTTACATTGAAAATGGCCAGGTTGGTTACGTTGCCTTTGAGAGCGTATGGTAGCCCAGGAATGAGAATTACCCCCATGATGGCATACCATTTGCAAAAGAAGACAACCCAAGGTATTGCAAATGGGGTATGTCCAGTCTTTTTTAGTAACTACTTGGTCACAAACACTGGCCAAAATTAGCGTTCAATTTAGTTTTTTTACTTTTTCACACACAAACAAATATGAATGCTTACTTTGGCCAGTGTTTTCGACTAAGTGGCTACTAAAAAAGACTGGACATACCCCATATTGAATACCCTGGGTTGTCTACTTTAAAAAAAATATGTACATGTGGGGTGTTATTCAGAGATTTATGACAGATAATAGTGTTACAATGTCACTATTGATAAATTTTTAAAATGCATGTTTTGAAACCGCAATATCCTACTTGTACCTATAGCCCTATAACATGCAAAAAAAAAAGCAAAAAAGCACGTAAACACTAGGTATTTTTAAACTCAGGACAAAAATTTTGAATCTATTTAGCAGTTTTTTTCATTCGCTTTTGTAGATGAGTAAAAGATTTTTCAAGTAAAAGTCAAAAAACATGTATTTTTTTCAATTTTTCATCATATTTTTTTATTTTTTTTAAAATTAAAATACATGAGATTATATAAATAATGGTATGTAAAGAAAGCCCCTTTTGTCCTGAAAAACAATATATAATTTGTATGGGAACAGTAAATGAGAGAGCGGAAAATTCCAGCCAAACACAAACACCACAAAAGTGTAAAAATATGCCTGGTCGCAAATGTACAACATCGCAAAAACAGTCCAGTCCTTAAGGGGTTAAGCAATGGTTAATTGAATATGTAATTGGAAGTGATTTTCTTCGTTGTTCTTGTATGTCATTTTTCTAAAATTTCAATTAAAAAAAGAAAAATGTTTAAAAAAAAGACCCATGGATGTGATGATGTAATCACGCCGGTGTAGGTGGCGCTCCGGGGTCCCAGATGAGAGGGTCTGAGCGGCAATAGAAGCTGAGCGGGAACAGAGAACAGAGAAATGAACGCTGCTCTTAGCGTGGCGTGTGTGTGGTCAAACAGTGTGTGGTCGATGCTGGAACAAGCTGCAAAAAGGAGAGATAATTGGGATGGCATTCGTAGAAACTGCAGGTCCCTAGGGAAAATCGATCAAGCGGCTGGCTGAAGGAGGTGATCAATTGAAATAGCGCCAATCTGTATATACAATAACATCAGCACTAGAAGCTTACCAACAGACACTTCTCAATCCAAGGTTGCCACAAAATCTATGATTCTGCAGGGAAGCTTATTGAATAAGGATAGAACTTTATCGAAAAAGCTGAATATCAGCATTTTCATTTATAGGGGTGTTGGATTATTATACAAAATTTTGCTTGATATGCCTGGAATGATTCCATCCAAGTACCACTGCTGACATCAGACAAGCTGCAAAAGTGAAAGTTACTTAATCTGCACTAATTATTACACTGGTGCAATCTGAGGAAGTCTGAAAAACAGATTCTTATGAGCTCCTGCTATACGTAACAAGGAGTTGATGGGCTGTTTTTTTGGTGTTTTTTTCCCTTTTCATTGCTCCTGAGAAATCTAGAATATGGCTACAAAAACAGATTAAGGGAAGGGATAAAGAAAAGAAAGAAGAAACCCACCCTATAAGAGTATCTTGCTTTTTTCCCTATGTCTAAAAAAGAGAAAGTGGCTAATACAGCTGATACATCTGCTATATCAACACAGGAATACACCCAAGGTCAGATACACCAAAGTTCCGGAGACCGACCTAATTATGTCACACAAGATTTTCTAGTAGTGAAAATAGATGCTCAATTGGCCTATATTACTAAGCAGATAACGAATAGCTTTACTGCAATTAAAAAGGAGATAGCAGATTTAAGTTTAAATATATCCTCAGTGGAAGGGAAAATTTCCAAGATGGAGGAACAACTTACCACACTGCAAGGAGCAAACAACGACATTGATAATAAAGTCTATCAAATAAATATGAAGCTTAGGGACCTTGAAGATCGTTCAAGGCACTGTAACTTATGGTTCAGGAACATTCCAGAAGACATCACGCATGATCAGTTAAAAGATTTCCTACGTTCCTATTTTCAAGAAATGAATCTTTCCATACAAGAGCAGCATACAATATTAGAAAGAACACATCGACTTCCAAAACCTAAGAGTCTCCCAGCTCAACAACAGAGAGACATCATAACTTGTTTCCACCCATATGCTTACAAAGAACAAGTTGTGAAGATGCATAGAGATAAATGAACTATGACTGACACCTATAAAGATATCATAATCTTTCAAGACCTCTCACTTCAAACGAGGCTGGAACCCTGGAAACAACATGGAACCAGATATAGATGGGGTTACCCATCAAAACTATTGGTTTGGTGGGGAGACAAATGGCTCAGTTTTGACTCTCCCACAAACCTTGAAGCCGGGACTAAAACTACCAAATTCCCATAAACCTACAATTAAATATTGACAAGATACCAGAATTGAAGAAATAAGAGGGCTGAAGAAGTTGAGGAAAAGGGTACATGGAGGGTCACTGGAGATCACAAATGGTGGCATAAGGGATATTATAACTAAATTCATATTGAAGTCACAAAAAAGATAGAAGGAGTAGGGAGGAAGATGACGTTAGGGATACTATTAGGGTTTTTTTTTTTTTTTACAACTGCAGATCATTCAGTGTGTACACTGTAATGGACCGTTTCGCTCACGAGGGGATAAAAACCGTTTAGGCGATAATCCCCTTCCAGATAGACCAGCAGCTACTGCAATCACCAACCTCCCGAACTCCAACTTGCACGTATTCACCAACTCTCAAACAGCAGACACACGAACCCTGGAAGCAGCCGAACAGGAAAAGCCCTACGAACAGCTTACACTCCTGGCAATCGGCATACAGTCAAATTCCCCCCAAGAATGAGACGACCCTTCACTTTGAGGGTTAAACAGGAACTCTTGTGCTGGCACACCCAGCCTGGTTTTTATTACAGCCTTTCACATACAGGACCGCCCACAGGGAGGTATAAAACAACCAATCACATATCAGTTACATCCCACATATTCCCTCCCCTTATCCTGAGAGGAAACTCAATTACACATACAGTTAAAACATACTTTCTACCCAACTTTCATAACTTTAAAACCATGCATCACATTCACATAAAATTACATATTCACAATCAATCCATTCAGGGAAACAACATATTAAAAAATGGCACGAATCAGACCAGGGGTTCAAAAGTTAAGGGAAAGTCCTTTGTGACTAAATGAAGCATGGCTTTCCGGCCCAAACCGGTTTCAGAGTCTTCTATCCTGGAGATTGAATTGAGAAGTAATTCAATTATCTCCAGGACAGACACAAGACTCCATTATGCACATGGTGAGCACAAAGCATTAAAATATTATAAAATACACAAAGTCACATTTTATACATAAAACACAGACATGTCACATATCCCCAGATAGCACAAAACTACCGAATAGCGCTCAGATCCTATTCACACAGTTCAATTGCCATGGAGCCGAAGTCTTTAACTATACGAATGGGCTCCATGGCATAGCTATCTGGGTTAACACATTCACATAAAGTCTGGTCCATAGTCCAAAGGCAAGAGGTGGGCAAGCAGCCCCCTCCAAGGACACGTGGCGAGGCCGGTTTCGCCACATACACTTACTATTATGTATAATTGTGTATTTATGATATAAATAGTTATTAGAGGCATAACTAATTTAAGGGGATAATATCTCTTTTTTGTTTCTCCTCTTCATTTATAAGATAACAATGTCTTTGCGATAATTGCAGGTCACTAAATGTGGATAACTTAGTAAAATGGATAAAATAGAAATTATAAAGAGGGTTATAAAACTAGGGCTGTGGCGCACTTCTAAACTAACAATGTCTCTGCTTTAATTGCGGGTCATCAATAACATTACACTTGTTAATAAGGATAATTGAATATTCATACTATATAATAGAAATTAGGAGGAGGTTTATAAGATAGGGGTGATGATTCTACATTATATACTTATTTATTTATTTCCTTTCACATATAAGCTAGCACTGCTGCAGATATAATTTGCAGGTCACAAATTGAGGAATACCTAGTATTAAGATAAATTACTATTCACGATATAAAATAGAAACTAGGAAGAAGGTCATAAGTTAGGGGTGTTGATATACATAAAGATTCGGTAATATAGATGTACTGTATTCATTTACTTATTTATTTAAAAAAAATAAAAATTCTTCTTCCTCCCCATCACTTATAAGATAGCACTATCTTTGGTATAAGTGCATGTCACTAATTGCGGTTCACTTATTAATAAGGATAAATTGATATTTTTTATATAAAATAGAAACTATGATCAGGGGTATAATACTAGGGCTACACAGTCTTTGCTCTAAATACAGGTCAACTACATTACACTTATTGATAAGGATAATTGAGTATTTATGATCTAAAATAGAAATTATGAAGAGATCTATAAGTTAGAGGGGGATGATTTACACAAAGACTTTACATTATAATTTTTTTTCTCTCCTTCTCCCTATCTGGGATAGATGCAATTTTTATATTGCTAAATTGGGGATACCAGTCCCCTTCTTCAATGAGAAGAAATTATGTATATTAATATAAGACAAATCAGTTCAGTTTAAAAAAGAAAGATGAAAGAGAAAAGGAAAGGAAAAGAAAATGTTAGTTTAATTCAAGATTTCTTCTTTTGTGTGCTTGGTCCACACTTATCTCTGGCCCCTATAGCTCTACTTGATGCCTTAGATAAGACATAGGACTAACAGAAGTAGGGTATCAAAGAGAATGGGGGGCTCTAAAAAGGGTGTTCGGAGCCCTTGGCAGGGTAGGATTTTTATCCTTGAACTGAGGTTGTTCTTGAGGATCAAAATGGTTTGTGTTTATGTTTTATGTTGCCTGCGATGTCGAGAGGGGTAGTTAGGGTATTACTTTTTTGAGTTAAATGATTATGGTTAAGTTTCTATCAGTAAACACTCAGGGAATAAACACTATGAATAAAAGATCTCAGGATTATAACTAACTTGTCAAAGAGAAAGTAGATGTATGTATGCTACAGGAAACACATTGGCGTCAAGGGGAGAAGTTAATTTGGGAGGCAAGAAATATCCAACTATTATCCATGCTACAATGACTTTTAAAAAAAAAATGGGGTGGCTATAATAATCTCCAAAAATGTTAAATGGGAGACTCTATACCAAGAACTAGACCCAGAAGGAAGATTTGTGATCTTGGTTTGTAAGATTAATGAGGTGAAACACATTTTAGTTAATGTTTACCTACCACTTCTAAATAAAATATTGGAAATGGCCAAGATGGTTAAAACAGGGATATATAGTATGGCTGGTGACTTTAACCGTGTCCTCTATCCAGAGGAAGACAAGAAATTATTAAAAGGAAGTGTTATAAATAATAGAGTAATAAAATATGCTAGATCATTGACCAATGTCTTACATAATTATAATCTAATCGATACATAGAGTTTCTAATCCAGAATTTAGGGATTATATACACCTCTCTAGGGTTTATTTTACATATTCAAGAATCAATATGGTTTGGGGTAACCTGAATATGGTGGAAAATCTGAAGAATATTTAAATTGTAGATTTTACATGGTCAGACCATAGCATTATCCTCTTTGATACAAAAGATAGTTTATCGATGAAGAGTAAAAATACGTGGAAATTAAATGATTTCTTGCTGCATAATAAAAATAATAGAGATAAATTAGAAAGGTTAATAGATTGTTATTTTAAGGAGAATGCTCCCTCTGATACATCTCTCCTTACGATGTGGTGTGCATTCAAGGCTATCTATAAAAATAATTATTCGGGTCACACAATGATTTGTAAGTGGAAGTCATAAAGATGTGTCTGATGTATATAAACTCTCTGTATAAGCTATCTGCAGAAAACAAGGTGGATCCCTCACCTGATAAAGCCAGGAAAAGTATAGTCATATAGGATAAAATCTCTCAATTCTTAAATAATAGAATTCAAAAAAATATTAATAAATAAAAACTTAAATTCTACTGTAGAAGCAATAAAACTGATAGAATTCTTAATAAACAAGCTCAGAAAGAAACAAGCCATCTTGCGCATAATAAAGATAGTTTATAATAATGAAAGATTTATAAATCCTAAGGACATCGAATAGTTTTAACATTATTACGGCAAATTATATAATCTCCATTGGATTCTATAAACCAATATCTACTTAATACTAAGCTTCCAAAGCTCGACCAGTGGCATTCAACCAGTCTTAGATTGACTTATTAGTGTAGAGGAAGTAGAAATTGCTATCTCAAATCTGCAAAAGTCTAAGACACCCGGACCAGACGTATTTACAAATTTATTTTTCCACACATTCAAATCCCAGCTGAGCAAACATTTGGCACTAACTTTTAATTATGTGGTTTAAAAAGGCAGCTTCCTGATGAAATAACTAGAGCTAATGTACTTCCTATTTTGAATCCCAGTAAAAACTCTAAGGAGAGCTCTAGTTATCATCCCATTTCTTTAATAAATACTGACATCAAAATATTTTCATCCATTTTAGCAAAATTCCTCAAAGACGTGATCAAGAATTTAATCCATACTGATTAGATTGGTTTCATACCAGGCAGATGGTCGGGTTTTAATACAAGAAGACTCATAGATATCCTCTATAGCTCTGAAAGGAAAAACATACTACTCGTTTCCATAGCAGTTGACGCTGAAAAAGCGTTTGACAGGCTAAGTTAGAAATTCCTTGAATACGTATTAGTATCTTGTAATATAAGTGGCTGGATGCTTGATGCCATTATAGCATTGTATAAAAATCCCGCCGCTAGAATAGTTGGACCAAATGTTTTCTCAGACTGTCAGACAAGGATGTCCTCTGTCGCCGTTGTTGGACATACTCTTGATTGAACCACTTGCACTGAATATTAGAAATAATTTGAAAATAGGGTTTTAGGATGAGAGATAATGAATTAAAAATCTGCTTGGATGCAGATGATATTCTGATTTACAAAAACTGATAAAAAAAAAATGTATTTTTAGATCATCTGATGGGCGAATTTAAGAACTACAGTCAGATGATCCCCTCTTAGAATCCCAGAAAGCTGGTTAACAATCTTATAAAATAGTATTGCAACTTTCCTTACCAGAGGGAAAAACTTAAAATAAATAGAATAGCTTTATCTCTTAAACCGACATGACAGGTGTATAGTCGCCATTT